TTCTCGCTTTCTGTCTCTCTGTCTCTCTCTGTCTTTCTGGTGAGCCCACACGCCCTATAGCGAAAACTTCTCCAAAAAAGAAAAAGAAAAAGAAAAAAAAAAGGAAAAGGAAAGGATCCCAAACGGGGAGCTCAGAGAGGAAGTGCTTGTTCCTGCCCAGCCCCGCACCCGCGCTCCAGGGTTGCCCGTCAGTCCGTTAGCGTGGCTGCCCTCGGGCTCCCGTACGGGCTGTAAAACCCCAGCTCGGGGCCACCCAGGGCACTGAGTCAGAAACGGGTCTGTGTGAGGGGAGAGAACCGCGGCTGGGAGCGGGCCTGGCCAGCATTTCCGACGAGGCACTTAATACCCATAACAGGCACTCAGGATGAGCCGAGGGGTAGGAGCCGCCCGGATGACAGCGACCCTGTGCGTCTCCAGCCAGTGCTCGCTCACACCTTCGCCCGAGTCCGAGGTCGCCTTGAAATCAGTCTCACGCCTGTACACGGGCTCTCTTGTGACAGATTTAACCTCATATGAGGCGAGTTTATTAGTATGCATTTCTAGGACCAAAATTGGCTCTTTTTTTTTTTTTTTAAGGGAGAGATTTTTGCTATAGGGCATGTGTACTCACCGGGGAGACAGAGCGACAGAAAGTGAGAAATCACCCCCCAAGATGGATGGCCAAGCCGCAATCCCTTCTCCTGCATTCTCCTCTTGGGTTCTTGGGCACGCACGCCTGGCATGAGTTTTAAACTGCCAGGTCTGGGACTTGAACTGTGGTCGACTACGTGGGAGTCCAGCAACGTAACCATCTGCTGGCCCCCAAATTTCCTCTTTCCCCTGTAGTATCTCAAGGCGGAAAGCCGGAAGTGCCTAGGTCTTTCACAATAGCTCCCTGGGTACATCATGACAGTTAAAACTGAAGGTCTGATAAGGGAGGTTAGCCAATGTGTGTAAGACTGCCGGGGAGAGATGCCGGAAGGCAGTCAGTGGAGCTGCAGGAGTGGAAGGGGGGAGGGGGGAGGGAGCAGAGGTCCTGGACCCCTGAGCCCCCCGGAAACAACCCAGGAAGCAGCATGACCTCCGACCCTGGACGGGAAGCCTGGGCTCTGTGCATCAAAGCCCGGCTACCAGACCTGGCCCTGCTGCCTCATGTCTGCACGGGGTGGGGCCCACGGCACTGACCGTCACCCCTCGACGGACCGCTCTGCGTGGGCAGCGGTGCCACCTCCCACGCCGCTGTAACTGCATGGAGGGTGGAAGACCAGCGTCAAAGGGCTCCTCGCGTCAGTGCAGAGCGAGCTGAGCCCGCCGCAGGGAGGGCAGAGCCTTTCTGCTGGAGACCACCTGTGTGACAGTGGCTCAGAGCTGCTGGAAAACAGCGTGAGTGACACTTCAGTGACCCGGCACATGGGTCCTCGAGCACAGCAGGCTCAGTCTCCGGTACCCGTTTCCTAGAGAAGCAAGCCAAGCCCCACTGGGTTAGCGTGTCCTGCGTGCTACGCTTGTGTTTCCAAGCACAGTTTTCACTTCTTAAAGGGGTTCTTGTTCCAGAAGAGGCCTGCTGTTTGTGTGCTTCTCCTTTTTCATCTGCTGCACACTTACAGAATTTTCCATCGTAAATACGTGCAGCAACGTTTCCTGAGAAAAGGTCGTCTATTTACTTCCACGTACTACACTGAGACCCGACCTTCCTCGCGGTAACTCCAGAGCACCGAGAGGGCTGCATCCTCGGACCACCAGCCTCCTGCTCCCTGGATGTACCTGGGTCCCAAGTCTGTCCTTGCGCGTCCTTCTGCTTCTCTGGGTCCTCGGCACCTTCCATGGGAGCCAGGGGTGTCTTGGCATCAGGGGGTGAGGCTCAGAGCTGCCCAGAGCTGACGGAAGGTCAGGAGATCGAGGGGCTGACTGGGGAATGAGGGTCTAACTTAACTGCGAGCTACATTCGATTAAGTAAAGAAAGTAAAAGCACCATGAATTACCCCATCAAATCCCTAATGGGGCGCGAGGACGACCTGTGTGTGGTTTCCCAACGCCGGATTCTAGAGCTCCTTTCAGGTTCTCCTGAATTCACATATTGTTTTCTTCCTTTTTTTGGAGAGGTTTTATTTTTTTTTCCTGCTATAGGATGCGTGCGCTCTCCAGACAGACAGAGAGAGACAGAGAGACAGAAAGTGAGAAATCACCCCCCCAGGGGGGATGGCCACGCCGCAATCCCTTCTCCTCCATTCTCCTCTCAGGATCTTGGGCACGCACGCACACGCGCCCGGCGTGAGTTTAAGCCGCCAGGTCCGGGACGCGAACCGCGGTCGACTACGTGGGAGTCCAGCGACATAGCCATCATGCTAACTGCTGGTCCCGAATTCACGTATTTTGACACAAGTTCCTAAACTGCTCCTGAAGACCATCAGGCTGCAGGTGCAGAGGGAGTCAGGGGCCATCCAAGTGCTGTCTCAGGGTTCCCTCTGCGTCTCCAGGGCCTTGGCCGACTTGTTGGACAGAGTGAGGCCACCTGCCCGTACGAGCCTGGCCCGGCCGCGATAGCCCTCCTCAGCGTACCCGCACTCCGCAGCACCTAGCAGCCAGGAAGGGCTTCTCGGGAGTCTGATCACTCAGGCGATGGGCCAGCTACGAGGGGCGCACGCTTCTGGGAGGAAAGGACTTACTCTTCACTTAGAGAGAGCGGGGGACTCTCAGGGCGGGATTTCCAACAGGAATAATGCCTGAGTCGCAGGGAGGTGAGGGCGTGGTAAAGGGACTCATCTGCTGTGGAAATAATCGTTCGCGCACACACGTGATCCGAAGTCACGGACACGGCAGGGGCCGCGTCAATTACCCCATAGCCCGGGAAAGGAGACTGAGCCCTGGCAGCACGCACGGACGCGGCACTAACTCCGCCAGCTCGTGCGGGAGGGCGGCTCCAGGCCGTACACCTGCGTGTTTTTCAAGCTTTAGGGACCAGGATTCGAACTGCAGGTGGCCGAGTGGGATCCAGCTCCCTTGACCATGAGGCTACTGAACCAGTCCCAGAAGTGGTTTTTATTTTTTTTAGATAATTATTCGTTTATTTAATTCCATTTGTTATTATTATTTTAAAATTTGACTAGACAGAGAGAGAGAGAGAGAGAGAGAGAGAGAGAGAAAGGGAACGTGAGAAAGCAAGCCACCAGGTCCGGGACTCGAACTATGGTTGGTCATGTAGAAATCCAGTGTCTTTAACCACCATGCCACCTGCCAGCCCCTAGAAATGTATTTTCTACCGTGTGAAATACAAGCACACGTGCTCTGTGGGTAAGTGAGGTGGAGCCTGGGCAGTATTCCATAGCACTGATCTGGCGTCAGAAAGCTTAGACACTCAGGTCCCACCGAGCGCTTCGCATCACCGCAAGTATAAAGGCATGGTTTGAGACATGCAAAAAAAGAGGGTCCTGCAGGTGGTGTGGTGGTGAAGGCGCTGGACTCCCACATGGCCAACCACGGTTCAAGTTCCAGATCTGATGGCTTTCTTTCTCACTTTCCCTCTCTCTGGTCAAATTAAAATAATAATAATAAATAAAAAATTAAAACAGATAGACCCCTTTGTCTTGCTAATTACCTTTTTAAAAGAAAGGATTTCATCATGGCCTCGGGCCCCTGGCCAATAACCTCGCAAGGCTAGAATGTCCGAACATGCCCTTCGTTTCCATCCTGTATACATTCACGTGAATTCTCTTCCTAGGAAGTGATCCTCCATCGTAATTTAAAGTGTCGTTATAAAACGTCCACCTTCCAACCAACAATGCGTTTAAATTGAAGACACTGTAAAAGTAACATGTTAAGTGAATTAAGTTCAGGTGATGTGGGCCAGAGCACCATCATGAGTAAAATGTCCATCTTGGGACCAGCAGTTGGCGTAATGGCTATTTCGCTGGACTCCCATGTAGTCGACCGCGGTTCGAGTCCCGGACCCGGTGGCTTAAACTTATGAGAGACGTGTGTGCGTGCACGCCCAAGATCCCGAGAAGAGAATGGAGGAGAAGGGATTGTGGCGTGGCCATCCCCCCTGGCGGGTGATTTCTTGCTTTCTGTCTCTCTGTCTCTCTCTGTCTTTCTGGCAAGCACACGCGCCCTATAGCAAAACCCTCTCCCCCGAAAATCCCTCTTTGACTATTGACGATGCTTGATCAGAGGACACGCCCATAAGGCCAGCACGGTGGGGCCTGGTAGGCAAGAGCAATCAGTGACTACACACCAGCGTGGCCTGCTGTCAAGCCATGACCTTCCCCGCATCTCTCCTCATCCAATCTCACCTCTAACCCCATGTACCCCCTGGAGGAACTTACCGAGGCAGAGGAGCGGGAGGAGCTCGGGGGACATGCCTGCTCTTAGCCTGGACTGAGGATCAGCTTTGCGATCATGGAGGGAGGGCGGCTCGGTGCGCGGTGGTATCTCTGATCACGGCCTCCCCTTCCTTCCTCTCACGTGACCCACGGTTGGTGGCACGTCCATTTTCGTGCAGAGAACCATGTCGTGTGAAATTAACAGCCCCGGTACTTCTCTTGTGGGAAACTCATATCCAACACAGTCAGATTCAGGTCTCCAGTCTGACGGCCCTTAGAAAGCCCAAGGCCTGAGGCTGAAGGGTGCTCAGTGAAGGCGTAGAAACAGCTGGGTATTGAGCATGCTGATAGCTCCCCATCTCGTGGGGAAGACTCTGGACCCTGCAACTGAATAAAGCTGTAACATATACTCAGGTTCTTCATGAGTACCATGGTATCGTCTCGGCCTGCTCGTGCTGCTGTCACAGAATACCTGAACCGAATGTACAACAAACAAAAGCGTTCGCAGCGCTGCAGGCGGGAGGGCTGAGGCGGGGCACC